AAAAGTTGTCGGGGTTTCTTGGCCCTTGTGCAAAGCACCAATGGATTAGAACGCGTGTGGGTCCCAGCGACCTGGAAGAACGGAGAACAGAGAACGGAGAACGGAATGGCCAGAGGTGAGAACGAGAACGTAGGGGCCTATCAAAAGCCTTACGTTATGGACTCTTGTGATTGAAATTTTTAATAAAAGTTTTGTGAGAAAGAATTAGTTATAAAAATATTGTTTTTAAAAGTTGAAAGTTTTTTTTTTTTTATTAATTTTGATTATATAATGAAAAGTAATTATTTTTTGTTTTGTTTATATACATGTATATATATTATGTTATTTAAATTTAAAATTTTTTATTTTTATGAAAGGATATGATTATTAATTTATTTAGATTATTAATAAAAATTAAAAATGTTTAGTAAAATTTTTATAAAAATACTTATAAAATAAAAAATTACTGGATAAATTTTTTTATAAAAAATCTTTCATCTTAAAATAACTAAAAATGACATTTTTTTTAGAAAAGTATTGTTTTTCTCCCTTTTTTTTATATTTTTATGGAATTTTAATTTTTTAATTTAATTATATATTAAAGTTAATGATTACAAATAAAATTTTTATATTTATAAAATACATCTATTAGTAATTAATAATTTCATATTAATAGATAAATAAATATTTATATTTTAATAGTAAAAAATAAAACATACTATATTTAAGTTTTATAAATAAAAAATAAAAATAAAAATTAATAATAGCAATTATTTTAACTCTCCATTAAAAATGAAAAAAAAATTTCTTTAAAAAAATTATTATTTCTCTTTTTAAAGAGTATAAAGTATAAACTATTGAATCTGTTACAAATGATGAAATTAAAATTTTAAATACTGTCTTCATAATTTGAAAAGTTTTGAAGCTACAAATGACGATCGAGATGTCACGTAGAGCTCAATAAAATGGTGAGCCGAAAATGACAATATATATTTTTTAAAAATTAATGTTTTATTCCAGAACTAAATGTAACAAATTCAAATGAAATTCAAATGAAAAATACAAGAATGATATTATGAAGACATAATACACACAGAAGCAAAGTAGACATGCACAATATTAATTTGCTAATTATAATTTGCACAATATTAATTTTAATTTGCTAATTAAGTTGTCTCAACTTGAGCTTGCATAAGATAAGTTTTATTTCACTTTATGTTCACAACAATTTTTTCTCCATTATGGGGTATAGCTTGGTGCAACAAGAGGGCAAAAAAAAAAAAAGAAAAAAAAATTTAAAAATTCTTATTAATAAAGACAAGTATCTCCACTTGAAATTGTGAATTATATAACAATTATAAACTACCATTGTTTGTGACTAGTCAATCCACAATTGAAATTAGAAGCATAACTGACATAGTTTCAAATTGACGTGAGCAGCCTAATAAGCAAGGATGTTTCTGTCCATTGCTTTAGAAAGAGAACACAAGGTGTTGACCTTTATTTTATCTTATATCTTTAGGGTTAAACCAAAAAAGAATAGTGAAGATGAAACAAAAACACGTGGCCAAGACTACTGCTGCAATCGGTCAGTTCCCCAACCCCTTAAATACATCTTTGATGGAGCTCCTAGTTCAGTCTCAACAAAGCGTCATGCTTTCTCTCGTTAGACTGAAAGGAAACTATCAAGAAATTACGTTAGGAGAATTACATAAAATTAATATGAACTAGACCTGAATTTCACCCAATGGATGTTGAGTAAAAAAAACAAAACAAAATAAAATAAAAAAAGGTAACTAACATAAAGCCTTTTAAATGCCAAAAATGGGATAAAATACACAAGGTAGCTGCAATTTGACAAGCTCATCTACAAACTGACACAGAAATAGATAAGATCTTGGTGAAGATTATGAAAGTAGGATCAAGTTAAAATACACACTCCCAAAGCCAAGAAGCAATTCTTTTTCTTCTTTTTTTTCTACATTGGATAATAGCGTTTGCCTACACACAAACAACTATGGCCATCATGGGATAACATACAATATGTCAGGAATGTCAGGAATGTCACTCCTTTTCCACTCTCTTTACATTTACCTACACATAAACAACCATAGCCAATAACTTACAAAAATTGTAAAACCCAAGCAAACATGGCAACTTTAGACACAAGCAAATCATATCAATTAAGCAAAGTTTCTTATTTTTGATAAAATGCACTAACATTCAGGAGGCATTTAAGTACTTCTATTTAGATCATCTCCTGAATTCAATACACATTTAATTACCTATGTTTCCCCTTCGTAAACTACAATTCCTCCTAAAGGAGTCCTTCCATTTGAACCACAAATGTTAAGATCCACTCCCATCTATGGAATATAAGGAATGTTGATAAAGGAAAACAAACAAGTTACATTGACATTTATCTGGCAATCCATTTGCAAATGCTCACATGACGTCAAATGAAATCATACATTTCACAAAAAGAAATAATTCATCTGTTGCAAGTTTCTAATTCCAAGGCATACATTTCAAAATTTAGAAACGGAGAAAATTGATGCTACAAAAGAGTCAAAAATAGTGATTAATGAAACAACCAATCAGACAAAACAAATGGTACAAAAACGAAATAAGAGAACATCAAACTGACTTTTCCCTTGAACTTGTGGATATTATAACATGCAAGGCTCAAGGTTAATTTGATTTTTCTATGTGAATTTCAAACATTGAAACATCATCCCTCGCTCTTAAGAAATCTCATTTACCTCTAGATAATCAAAATATCAAAAGATAGAAAGAAAAGCAAGACAAAGAAAGAAATTATCAAAAGGAATGTCTCAGGAGAAGAAAATGTATCAATGTAGGCTCAACCTAAAATCGAAATCCCTAAAACAAAAATTTTAGGGTTTCGGGGAGAAGACGAGGATTATCGTGGTGGGGTGGTCGCCCACAGTCGTCGCGTGGCCCAGATTTGGAAGAAGATGGAGAAGGAGAAGGGATTTCGGTTAACTCTCGCACCAACTCACACTACCGACCAACAATCATCACTCATCAGCAAGGTTTTTAAAATCGGACTGGATTGGCCGGTTGAACCGGTCGGACCGGTACCCGGTAATGAAAACGGTTCGGTTCATACAAAAAAACCGTTTGAGGTCAAAATCGGTCAAAATTGGTCAAAACCGGTCAAAAACCGTTCAAAACCAGTCAAAACCGTTTAAAATCGATTAAAACTGATGAAACCGATAGAACCGAAAAAACCACCGGTTCAATTTCTCATGCAATTTTCTTTTTAGTTTTTCCAATTTCACCCTCATCATTCCTTTCTTATATCGATTTTAACCCTTAATTTTAATGAAATTACAAAATTACCTATCCCTCTCATCAAATTTCCCTTGTTATTTGAACCGGTCGATTCACCGGTTGAACCGATCAAACCGAAAACCAAACCTGAAAACGGTTCAATGACCGGTCCGGTTTTAAAAACATTGCTCATCAGCACCAAATTAGTAGCAGAAACACCATAAAAGGAAAAAAATTCAGAGAAAAGGAAGGAGACACACAGAAGAAAAAGGAGAAATGGGATTTTGGCTTTTTGTTGGCTGAGTTGTGCTTTTCTGCTTTGAAGCAGTTAGGGAGAAAGAAGGCCGGTGACTAACGGTGGGGATTTTCCAGTTTGCTTTGGAAGAAGATGGGCGAGAAGGAAGGGAGAAGAAATGCAAAATTAGGCTGCTTGAGAAAGAAGGAAATGGGTTGTAAATGGAATCTATATATAGTGGTTTTTTTTAAATAAAAAGAAGTGTGAGGATAAAATGAAAATAGCGTATTAATTTCATTAAATTACAAGCGAGAAGCTCGCTCGATCATGTTTTCGAGATTTACAAAGGAATGGATATGTTGGTTAACTTGTAAGAGTTTTAGTTTGTTTTATTTTATTTATATTTTACAAATTATAATTTTTTTAAAAGCTTATAGTTTTAAAGTTTTTTTAATTTTAAAAAAATTTTAAATAATAAAAATTTAAAAATTTTAAATGTTTACTTTTTATAAATTTTTTTATTCATTTTTTACTTATATTTTTTATTTTTAAAAATAAATTTTAAATTTTTTTTTCAATAAAAATTTATATTTATCATTTATAAATAATATAAAAAATTAAAATTACTTACAAACTAACCCAAACATGATCTAATACAATTTTTTCTTTTAAAATCAAAAAACCCCCTCACGAACTGCACCAAACAGTCCGTACATGTCCTTAAGACTTTTAACCCTTCAAGTTATAAGTCAAGGTTTTCAGCCCTTTAACTTACGGTCCATAAGGGTTTTAGTCCTTTGATCAGCTTTTTGACTTTCACCATTATCTGACGTTACTCTAATGTTTCTAGATCTTTCTCAACAAGTTCTTATTTAACTTCCTCAAATTTTAGACCTAAATCCTAAAATTCCTAGAACTCTAAGCTATAATACCAAAGTCTGATTGCTATTACACAAATTGGACAGACTCAATCAGGACACGCCTTATCTTACTAATAAAGATAGCATTTGCTTGAAAGGTGTTTCCTGCAAATGTGAAGACAAACAGAGGGCAGTCTTCACGTTTTATATTCTGATATCTTATCTACAAGGCATGACATTCTTTATTCATGTTCAAACTCAAGAACATCTCTTGAAGATATTTTCTTGGAGTTAATAGAGAAAGATTTTACTTTATTCATTTTGTACCAGTGCCACGCAGGAGAATTTATCCATAAAAACTCAGACTTCAAATTAGAATTAGGTACCCAACTGTATAGAAAGCAAGAACAATATTCAGCACTGCATAATTTGCAGAAGAGGCACTTGAATGATCAAGATGACTTGGCAGTTAGTTGTAAGGGAGGAGTAGAGGAAGAGGTTGAAAATGAAGAAATGGATTATTCCAAAGAGGAAGAACCAAATCTTCCACACAATGAGTTGATGTATGAGAATCTCTCGCTTCAGAAAGAGTTGGAAAGAAAAGAAATTTTATTAGAGGGTTTACTTTTTGATCTTCACTTGCTACAAGAATCAGCCTCCAATAGGATGCACATCAAAGATGAAAGTGAGAAACTGATTTTAGCTTTAAGCCAAGTTCGCTGTGAGCTAGAGGAAGTTTGCTCCTTAAATGATAAGCTCGAAATGGCCTATGCATTTGTTGATGAAAAGGAAGCTATTGCAGTTGAAGCACCCCAGGTATTTATGAATTTATTCTTTTTGACGTAAAATTATACTATAGAGATGTTTATTCCACTGAACATGGATTTATATCTTTTTAGGAGTCAGTGGCAAGTAAATTATATGCTGAGCAAAAGGAGAAGGAGGTCAAGATATTAGAAAGCTCAGTTGAGGAGCTCCAATGTACCATAAATGTGTTGGAGAAGAAGGTTAGTTCCTTGTGCACAACATGAAGGAGGAAGCCATTCTAATTCTAAGTAACAAGTCCTTATGCATAACAGGATAGTTGGTATATCACTAGCTCTGTGCCTTGTATTGTGCATTTTTGCTATTACATTTCTCTGCAAAGAATTGAATTGTCTAAAATGAAATGGTTTTAGGTATATGAAATGGATGAGGAGTTGGACCGGCATCAATTGATCAGAAATTTGCTAGAACATGAACTCCAGGTTATGAGAAAAAGATTGTTGACACTAGAAAACTTCACTGATGTTGTGGATTCGTTCAATAGAAACGCTGGACATAGTGAAGATCAGATATCTAGGTTAATATCTCTCATCTCTTTGCTTTCCTGTTATGAATTCCATATTGTTGCTTCTGATTCTTTTTCCCCAAGATGTGGAATCTAGCTCTGATGCTGATAAATGCAAAACAGGTTGTTGGAACTTCATGAGGCTCATGATAGGGTAAGAATTCTAGAGAAGGAAAAAGCAGAACTGGCGAGGTGGGTCCTAACATACTGTTGGTTTAAAGTTGTAGATAATGCTCTCAAATGTGGAACATCACATAACATCTGCTTACCAACAGTTCAATGATGAACTTTTCTATATGCTTTATAGGTTAAGCAATGCAAAGAGTACATCTCTGAAATTGTACTGCATTCTGAAGCCCAGGCGATGCAGTACCAACAAAAGGTACCATTATCAACTATTCAATCAAAAGCTCATGAAAAGTTTAATATTTTTACCATTTTTCATTGCATTCTTATGCCAAATTCTAAGAGGGAGAGATACAATATAGACTCGCATTAGTCTATGGTAAGTTTTTAAATTTGAATATTTGTCTTAGTATCCACCATTACAGCATAAAGTTGTGACATTGCTTGCTGTCCCATTTTTGATCTTGTCAAAGCAATGTCAATTACACTTCAAAGTTCCACTCTTTTTAGGCATATTCCAATTAGAATACCGCATTTAAAAAACAGAACTTTTTTCTTTTTTTTTTTTATCGTGAGTTATACAATACTGACGACTTTCTTCCATTCTTTAATCTATTTTATCTGCTTGTTTTGTGATTTAAATTCAAAATTTTTTACTTCAAACAGATGTTAATTTAAAAAATAGAAGTTGTTATCTTTATACTTAGATAAAGTGTGGAGAATCTAAATTATTACAGCAATTTTAATTTGTAATGAGCATTTGGGTTAGATATGGACTATGACGGTAAGAGTTCAATTTTTTCTTGAGTGTGGCTGTTGATAACGAGACATGACCTCTGACATCACATTTTTTATGTACCACGTCCTGTCTATCCTGATTAATCGAACAGTACAAGACTCTAGAGGCCATGGTTCGTGAAGTGAAAACGGATCTAGTAGCAAATTCAGTATCGGTAGCACCAATATTGGAGAAGACTAAGAAGTGCTCAACAAGGACCCGAGGATCAAGCTCACCATTCAGGTGCATTGCAAATTTGGTTCAGCGGATGAACTTTGAGACGGATCAGGAATTGTCAATGGCCAAGCATCGCATTGAAGAACTAGAGGAATTAGTGGCTAGCCGACAAAAAGAGGTTAAGTTCTGCAACTTGTTTTTCTTAATCCCCATGACGGTATTCTTGTATTTTCCTTTGGACATCCTGACTTCGGCTTATTATTTCACTTGCATTCATTTATTCTCGCACCGATGCTCAAACCTTTTCCGTTCAACAACCAGGTCAATTTGCTTAGATCATTTCTATGGCACACAGGCACAGTCAAAAACCGAATGACGTTCTTGGTACTTAACCAACAGTATATTTTCTAACTGAGTCTAAATTTGATCAGGTATGCACGCTGAACACCAGGTTGGCTGCTGCAGAAAGCATGACGCATGATCTCATTAGGGATTTACTTCTTGTTAGGTTGGACATGACCAACTATGCTGTAAGTTTCAGATCATCACTCTTTAGCTTGAATTTTTAAGGCATATCATTAATCTCTTTCTATCTTGTGCGCATGTCATAGAACTAAATAGACGAGCACCAGGTTCAGAAATTAGTGGAGGAGGCTCATCAGCAAACAAAAGACTTCCTTGAAAAGGTATTTCTCACCAAAATTTTCGTTCATTGTTTTCCCGACCACCATTCTGTTTGTAATGTTGGTTTAAATTCTTGTGCTAGGAACAAGAAATTCTCAAATTGAGAAAGCAGATTCATGATCTCATTGAGGAAAGAGAGAGGTAAGACCTCCTTCCCCTTCAATCCGAGAATTTATATGAAAAATTAAATAGGTTTAAGTACCATTTTGGTCCCTCAACTTTTCACTTTGGTACCAAAATTGTCCCTCA